TAATATCAGGAAGAAGAAGTAAGAAGAAGAGATGAAGTCTAGATGGCGCTATATGAATTACACAGCGCCATCTAGACCCAAGTTAAGCCAGCTAAGCTTGTATTATGGAAAACACCCAGACCGACACAAATAATCATACTTCATGAATACAAATGTTTGTGCCGTGTGGGGAATCGAACTCGTGACTATCGGAAGTAAGGCAGTGTATTAAACCACTAGTCCACCGAGGCACCGATATATATATACCGACGTATATATATATCGAATCAGCTCATTCAAGATAAACCGGCCCATTCAAGCTACAAAACGATACGTAGCTCTACTTTAAAAAATATATTTTGTAAGTAATATTACAATTGACTTCTCCTTAAAAGAATACATGAACGTTTGTGTGAACAATCTCATTAATTGAGGCAAGCTTGAGGTAGATGTTTACAAAAACATTGAAGTGATACAATTATATTAAAATACTTATTTCGAATCGACTCTATGAAATATTTATTATTGGATTAAAATTGTTCATTTATACATATCACTAACTTTTTCCAAGGCTTCACCAGCTTTTAGAGAAACTATATTTTGTAAGACAAATATAATTTAAATTTGTTATATTGAATCTATTATAGTAATTATGCAGCACTTATTATAGTTTAATACGGAAAATGTTTGGAATATGAAATAATAGGTAAAAAGTTTAGAATAATAATAGGGACAATCACATTCTGCATTGTTCATTTGAATAATGAGGTTGCTTCGAAAAGCCTGCGAAGACATCAGGAAGCTTCTGCGCTTCGGAAGTGTGGCTAGATACTTTATTAGTCCCAACCCTACAGGCATAAATAATAATAATCACAAACGGCAGAGAAATGGACTCAATTTTATATTTACCACTAACAAAAAAAAATACTGTCAGAACTTTAACTATTGATAATAATCTAAATATGAAATTTAATCAGTTTTTTTAATTATTATTAGGTTCTGATTTTTTAAACAATTTTAATGGCTTTGGCTAACTGGCCTTTACAGCTTCACACAACTATAGGAGGCGAGTGCAGATGACACTCTAAACCCGCGGAAGGACTTACGGAGCGGCTGAAGGCCAACTCCTGCCTGACGGATGCAATGCCACTGAGAACAGTCTGAGGGCACCGCTAGATGTTCGATATTTGAAATGGATGAGGGGTCGATCGTAGGGGTCTGTGAAGAAAATAATTATAAAAATCAGCTACCGGTTTCTGACATATATACTACATTACAATTATTCAAATATTTGAATAGAATTCCTGGTATTTATAATGTAATAGATCAACGTACGACTATTGAGAGACTGTTTAACTGCGAAAGCCACTTATTATAAATAATATTATTAAAAAAATGGAATTATTTTGAATATTGTAATAATCATAATAAGTATTACGATAGTAATTAGTTTGTTCAGTAATAATCTATTAATTTTAAAGATTTGAAAATCTTGAAAAATGAATAGTTTAAAATTAAGATCAGTTTAAAATTACTGACGCTATACGGGTATAGTTTAAAAACTTGCTCTAAGAATTTTAACAGGCTATGGAAGTCTCACTGTTGGAATTTTCACCTTATTACTTCAATAAATAATGTTTAAATTTAAAAACATATAACATATTCGGATTAAAAATTTTAGAACATTATTAAAATAAAATTTTTGTATATACATGTCTAGAACAAACTTGCATTATATCATCGCAAAATGAATGTGACCTGTGTTAATTAAAATAACTATATATACATTATAAACTATAATAGTAATGATTAATTTAAGATACGGTATAGGCACAGAGGACTATGTATATTTGAAAATAGGTTTGAGCACTGATTCAATCTAATTAACTGTACTAGTTGTTTAAAAATTTAATTTGATAAACACGATATTACGGGTTACACCACTCTAATTAAACGTATTTATTTTATTGCATCATATAGTCCCCAGTGTTATAGGTACAATAACAAACATTGCATGTAAGCAATTATAACTAGTGTTTGCTTATCCATATAATATTAGTGCTGTGAGAAACTATAAATTTTATATACATAGTAACCATTTATTACAAAATTGAATACAACAATACTTCATTCCGAATCGAATGTTTAAAGAATCTTGCAATGAATAACAATTATGTAGTGTTGCAAGTATTATAAAGTACTTATAAATAATATTACCTACTACTTACATAGTTAGTACTGTATAAATATACACATAACCTACATACCTATATACTATAAAGATGTTAATGTATGTTTTCATTATTAAGAGTAAAAAAATAATAACAATTACATCTACAGCAGAATTCAACTGTTTTCATTATCACAGTATTTGAGAATCAATTTGTTATAACATCTCTATCACCACATTACGGATGGTAGTGATGAGATTGATACGTTTTGTGTATGAATAATATTTAATTCTTAATAATCACAGGTGGTAAACATGAATTACTAAACTACTATGAAGTATTAAATGAAACAATACTATTTGTTTATCGTAGATGCAACCACTAATTGTAATTAAAATAGTCTATACATCACACTAAAATCAGAGTCAATATTGGAGCGGTAGTGGTTGATGGATATACTTCAAGGACGATGCCACATATCAAATCAAATCAAATCAAATCAAAAATTATTGATTCTTGTCAATCATTTTAGCCACTTATGAACTTCAAACGTTTGTATAATAGTAATAAAAATAACATAATAACTAATATATATTATTAAAAGGAGTCCCTTTAGGCAAGGTTCCGAAGATACTGGCAGCGTTCCTTTTTGAATGGATAGACTAATTCTTTGTCCGAGGTAGCTGCCAGCTCTTCGGTCTTCTGTCAAACGTTTGCATTAATATTTTTTCCCTACCGTCTAGTTCAGTATACAGATTCAATTTAGAACTGGCAAGAAAATTAACAGATTTTTTTTAACAACCTATTTTTACATACTTATGTAGGTGTATATTTTTAACGTTAATTGAAAATCCCGTGCATGAACTATTATTGTCATTCAAGCAATCGTTTAGTGTGTAATAGGCTCTGTTTAATATGATTTAACAGATGTTTTGAATTCATTTAAAGGTAATTCCAGTATATCCTTGGGTATGTTATTGGAAATTTTCCCCACTTTTACTCCGATATTGCACCTGATTTTAGTATAGCGTGTAACCTTAATGCTTTATATACAGCGTATTCATTATAACCGTCAAGCAAGCTAATCTAGACCATTCCTGCACCATTTGTAACATAACGTATCTATTATTAATCGAATTATGATATTATTATGTCTAATATTAATATTATAATTAATAATAATAATAATTTCAGAATAAGTTCTTTTAGTATTGAGAGATTGAGATTATACCCAATGCTCAAGGATAGTGATATTTAAAATGTTCCTCATTAATATTATAATTAATTATATTGATTGTTTTTATGATTTTTAATCGTAACCGCGACTCTACAGCCGACAACGAGTTTAAGGATCTTAAATTGTAATATTAAATTCACTATGCTTAAATACTACGATAGAGGAACGATCGAGTTTTGTAAAAAAAGATCTAATATCTCTGATGTTAAGATTAATATTGTATTAGATCTATTCTATTAGATCAAGAAAAGTGGCAACGGGATGAAAGTACTAGGGAACATTACCTATAACAAAAATGGTATTGCAATTTATATACAAAATGTGCAAATTACGTAAGTATTGTAATTTTTAGACAGTTGTATCGAAATAAGTATATGTGTTAACTTTCTTACCTATGAATTGATTGTATTTAGAAAAAATACACTCAGAACATGTGTTAACGTTTAATCTATAAATTAATCAGATTTAGGAAAAAAACACAAAAAATTACATATCACTACTATATATTGATCAAAACCGCATTTAACTTGGTTAATCCATTCGTAAGATTATCTAGAATGCGCAACAACAGATGTTGGTCTGGAATTTCAAAAAAGTGTTCTCATTAAGAAAAAATATTAAAGACATAACTTCTAATAACTATTTTTAGCCTCTATGGTATGTAAAGATTATATTCAGTACAGAAATAATATTTCCCTTGTTACTGATGTTTTTTATTTAATATTCAATACAACAAAACCGTGTTGTTACCGATTACATTATTATCTAGTTATGATTTTGTTCAATCAATCAATTTAAAAAAATAATTACAATTTTATCAACATTTTTTTATTGCCCAATATGTACTAATTTTGTCTAATTCCGAGTAATTTAGTTGCTCAATATTAATAATATGTTATGATAAATATTAACTTTTATTAGCTTGAAATGAAATGAAATGAAATGAAATGAAATGAAATAAATTTGCGAATTCACTTTCAGGTAGGTAGTGTTCCCTCTTCTGTGCATGTTAATACCATTCTATTATAATGCATGAATATTTTGCTTTCTTAACTAGCAATAATGCTTTCTTACTAAAAGTAAACAATTGGAATATAATTAAAAACATATATAGTAAACAGACTGAAATAATTTAAATCGGAAACCAAAAAGCCTTTCGGTAACAGATCGCAATACATCAAACATATACTTTATTATTATTTTAATAAAACCTTCAGAGGCCTAAATAGGTGCACTCAAAAAAGTATATACTATAAAAAAATATAGACACCTAATGATTACCTAATTTCAAATAAATAAAACCCATTTATATGATATATATAATTAAAAAAATATATTTCTTGAAACAAGATATTTATGAACATAAATGATTATAACAAAATTAATTTTTAATCTATATTAAAGAAACACTAAAATCTCTTCGAGTATTATGATTGCGATTAGTAAATCGTTTCTGATTGATATTTTAACGTTTTACTAAAATTTGTAAGTGAAATGATTTCTATCAATAATAGCGCGCCTGTTCGAATATCGTTCCTATAATTTTCAGTCATTATGCATAGTGTTTATAACGAAAATAGATAATATTCTATTTATAATCACGTTTACGTATTGCTGTTTGTTTATTCTATGTAAATGTCCTCAATGGGATATGCTGTTTCTATGAATTTCTGATAAAACCTCTGGAACGCTCTCCTGTAACAAATTATTCACAATTAGAGATACAATGAAAAATAAATATGAATTAAATTCGTGATAAATTTATATACAAAACCTTTCCCGTTAAAATATATAATTTTTTTTTAAATAATAGATATTTTTCATAAATACTCGTATATAGAAAACACCCAGACCGAGACAATTATATATCAATCTAGAATATATATGTTTGTATGTGCGAGGAATCGAAACCCCGACCATCGGAAAAAAGCGGTGTACTAAACCACTAGACCACTGAGGTCGTACTTAATCTGCTTGTTCTTGTAGTGTTAATACAAATGTGGCATGATTGTACTACATTCATTAGTAAAATTACTTATTAGAAACGCGAACACTCAACGCGTATTTGTAATGGATACTGATTTTACCCTTAAGTTAAATATAAGTTATATGGGCATAAACAAATGGAAGGGTACCGAATGTTGGCAGAAATATTACAAATATATAGGCATAAGTATACATTTTAATTTAAGTTTAATGCACATAATTTAAAGTACATATAGCGGAGTTAACACCATGCAGTATTATTTACCAGTCAACCATGGGTGGTGCAGAAAATAATTGTTGACGGTGTATATATAATATATATATACTTAATATTATATACATATTTAATAATCTGACAATGAAATATCATGTGCTACAAATAAAGGAATAAAAAAATATATAAAAAAACAATGAGCAAACAGGACAGAGGAAAGGTTACAAGTTCAGATAATGCTCTCGTAATTTACGTTTGACAGAATATCTACTCGTGACGGTTTTGATATGAAGTGGTAAGACGTTCCAAAGTCTGATTACCTGAATAGTGGATTTAATCATTATTGTTGGCGACAAAATGTTAAAATCACAAGGTCCTAAGGGTACTATAAACCAAAACACTACACTCGTATGTATATAGTTTATTGGTCGGTTTCAAAATCAGGTACAAAAGATTTTTTTTCAGACTACTCTAATGCTGTTGGCCGCAGCTGGCCTTTACAGCTTCACCGGACGATAGGCGGCGAGTGCAGATGGCAGTCCAAACCCGAGGAACGACTTATGGAGCGGCTAAAGGGCAACTCCCGCCTGACGGATACAACTTTAGTTTTTGAGCACCGCTAGGGGTTCGAACCTCGGTTCAGGTTGTCGTAATAACGATCCCCGTTTGAATTGGACGGGAGATCGATCAAAGGGGACAAAAGATTTAATATTACATATAATATATGGGAAATCAATAAAACGAAACATTAGCGCGTTCTAATTTTGTTCAAGCGCCATCTATTGGCGTTGCATGCAAACAATTATATTTTATTGAATCTATCGTTAACTCTTACAGAAATATTGTCTTTATTACTTACCCAACAGCTTCTGCTACTGGTCTCGTGGACTCCTGACCCCTGAATACGTGGCACGCGAACCTTTGTAACGTCGGATGTTTCGTGATGAAGCCAAGATATCGGTGATCACGAGGATGGAAAGCGCAGAACGAGACGTTCTTCAGCGAATAGAAGTAGTCAATGCACGGACCACTTCGTGTTCTCTGAACAAAGTACACATAATTAATATAATAATAATAAAAACTCAGGACAATTCATACAGCGCCATCTAAACCCAAGTTAAGCTAGCTAAAGTTTGTGTTATGGGTACTAGATAACTGATACAAATACATAGATATTTTTATTGTAAATACATACATATTATACATAGAAAACACCTAGACCGATACAAACAATCATACTCATGAATACAAATGTTTGTGCCGTGCGAGGAATCGAACCCGCGACCATCGGTCGTAAAGCGGTGTGCTAGAATAGAATAGAATAGAATAGAAAATCATTTATTCAAATAAACTTAATTTAAGCACTTTTGAATAGTCATAACAATTTGTTTTTTATCTACCACTCTAGACCTAGACCGCTAGACCACCGAGGTCGTCAAATATTAATAATAATTAATAATTAATTTAATATTCATTAAGACTATAGATAAATAATAACAAAAGACAAACGATACTAGTCTACCATATACTCAATTTGACCACAGACTATAACTATAAACGAAAGAGTATATACGCGTGCGTGTGTCAAAGACATGGTAGTAGTGTAATGGTTTTTTATTGATCAAATATATTTTTATGCTTATTTAAAAAAAAATTAGCATATTGCACTCCTCTTTGTAAACTATAAGTGCCAGCATTTCTTACTCTTCCGTCGCATTTTTAAAATAAAGGGGATTATAAAGTTAACCTTAGGGTTAACTTATGACTATGGAGTTAGTCAAACACTAACACGTTAGTATCATTGTTTAATAGTAAACTTTATTTATTTTATAAAATCTCCGAATATGTCAACTTACTATCTAGAAGTGAGTTCTACCATTATATTAATGGACAAATTTATAGCAATAGTAATCATAAACGAACTTTTATTACTACTTTAAAATTTAAAACTAGAAGAACTAAATATCTTCATTTGACAATTGGCAATAAACTCTAACAGTAATTAATTGCAGGTTAAATATTTATTTTTTAAATCAACTATTTGACGGCCGAAATATTTTTTATTTGTTTTTATCTTCAAGGTGCAAAATATAAAATGTGCTTCTTCTTTACTGTACGTTGCAAATAAAGTATATTCTATCTATCTATCTATCTATAAATTTATTGAATTAAGAAATATCATCTCAAAGAGAACATGTGAATAAAAAAGAAATAGTAAAGAAAATATAAAATTCGCAATTTGAATCGTAATTGTATGTCATATAAGGTTTTATATAAAAGTAATATTTACATCTGGCTTCGACCGGTCGACCATACGTAGACCTTGATCTGACACCTCCAGGATGCAAGGCTGTACTCCTGGCTCTCCACTTGACTCACCAACAATCTTCTTTACAGCTTGGCAAACCACGCCTGTTCCTTTATGGGCCAACGTCTCTACTGATCCCATGTATCTGTACATACAAATGTTAAAACATAAAAAAAAGACTATATTAATTTATAGATAGATAGATAATAATTCATTTATTGCAAACATAATACACAAAATAAGAAATAAAACTTTAACAAAAAAGTTGGTAATAAGAGCTGGCTCAGCTGTTACTAATATAAGTACAACCTCACTGAGGTGCATATATACAACGCTGGTTGTTAGGCAGCCCCAATAACTCATTAAAACAGAAACTAATAGGTTTTTTAGTTAACAACTATAAACACATACGTATACATTTATGATTTTTGAGACAACAAAAATGCATTAAATAAGACCTGAGATATATACATAAATATAAATATGTATATATAAAATGTATTACAACATTCAACCCTCAGTTAAAAGAGAAATATAATAAAAATACACAATTTGAATTACTGTATAATACTAATAGAAATCACTGTACCATAAAAAACAAATAGACCTAAAGGCCATGCAATAAAAACTAATAAATAGTACGAACTAATAAAAGAATTAACGGAAAATTATTCTCTGATTCATTGATATGCAGTTGAAGTGGGAGCGAGAGGTATACCAGTGAAATCTCTGTACAATCTTCTAAAATAAACAAAATTTGTATTGTGAGCGAACGCGACTATCGGAAGTGAAGCAGTGTGATAAACCGCTAAACCACTGGGTGAACTAGTATTGAGAGCATCGTATTGTGTATATTTACATATACTGTACTGTACAAAGCCTATTGCTCACTAAACGATTACTTGAATAACGAGCGTGCATGGCAATAGTAGTTCATGCACGGGATTTTCATTTAATATTACACATAGACACCTATATAAATACATTGTAAATAAACTGGCTTTTAGAAAAAAAAGTAATTCAATTGAGTTTCTAAGACGGTAGTGAAAAAAAATAAAATTATAATGCAAAAAACTTGACGTTCATAAGTGGCTAAAATGTTCTACAGGAATAAATGATTTTTGAATTTGAATTTGTACTTGTATACTAAGTACTTAATTGATTTATATTACTTTGTTTAATTCCGCTAAAATTATCATATGGACAAATATTCAATGTGGAAACTTGACTACTTTAACGAACTTCTCTAATCGCGATCAAATTCCGGCGGTATAGAGTCTACATCCATATTGCTTGCGCTAATACATACAAATCAACATAGTGATTATGTGGTTTTGGTACGACATAACAACACAACAAATTTAGTAAAATTTATTATTATATTTTGTTTAATTTAATTTCACACACTTATTGCCCTATTCTATTGACTATTGTTATCTTCTTTTGTCATCCTAATACAGTATATCCCTGTACAGGACTTATTTTTAAATATTTATATTTTAGATCGGTTGCTGTGGTTTGGTTATTCCCTTTTTATTATTCCTTGTATTGCTCTTGCTTTCATGTAGTTTGTTACGACATATATTTTTATAATATACTATTCTTTTACATATTGCATCTTTAATTACCACCATCGTTAGCTGCACCGACCCAAGCGCGCTATACACAGTCCCACACAATCCCCACGACCAAGCTTATTAACATCCAAATTCAAATTCAAAAATCATTTATTCATGTAGGACATTTTAGCCGCTTATGAACGTCAAGTTTTACATTATAATTTTTTTCCCCACCGTCCAGTTCGGTATATAGATCAAATTGAGAAGAACTGGCAAGAAACTCAATTGAATTACTTTTTTATTTAAATCCAGTTTATTTACAATGCATTTATTTAGGTGTCTATATCTAACATTAAATGAAAATCCCGAACATGAAAACTATTGCCATGCACGCTCGTCATTCAAGTAATCCTTTAGTGAGTAATAGGCCTTGCTCAGTAAATATTATTTAACAGATGTTTTGAATTTATTTAAGGGTAATTCCAATATATCTTTTGGTATCTTATTGTAAATTTTTATACCTATTCCCATAAAAGATCTATTGACTTTTTCTAAACGATACTTGGGGACAGCAAGTTTGTCTTTAAATCTAGTATTAATATTATGAATATTATGAATATTGATTATATATAATATCCATTCAAGCATTTAGTACTTATAAGATAACAAAACCTTTTCTGTAGTGTTACAATAGTGTGATATAATATAAATAACTTACCCTAATAAATATCGCTCTCTTTTAACTTTGGCATTGGCAGGGTCGAAATCATTGTAGTCCATATCCACTGCGTAGGCTGACGGAAAAATTCCCTGTTGACCCGTTCTCAAATTGACACCTAAAATAATATACACACAATAAATATATACCTTTGCAAACACAAACACAAAATGAAATCGATTCCGCTGTTTGGTCGCTCAGATCTTTTAAATTACGAAACGGACTTTAATGTACTTATACTTACCCTATGATCCTAATAAATTAGTGCTAGTTGGTAGTTTGTGTTCACATGTCACACGACTTGAAAAATGTCTTGTAAGTTCACAAGGATTATTTAAAAGAGCAACACACAAGTTTCATAAACGTTATTTTGATATATAAATTAATGACGCTATAAAAAAATAGGGGTTGGTGATAGAAGGGTGAAAATTTAGGGTTGTATTTATTTTTTATGACACATAATAAAAAAATATCTATAAAATAAAAATAATGTTATGGGTGGACAAACCTTATCACTTAGGGTTATGAAAAATAGATAGTAGCCGATTCTCAGACTGAATATGCATATAAAATTTCATAAAAATCGGTAAAGCCGTTTCAGAGGAGTATGGTAACTGACATGGTGACACGAGAATTTTATATATAAATATATGTTTGCTACACTTGTATTGCGTATATCATAATCGTAAATGTGATAGTCAGAAGTGTAGTTGATAAATTGAATCCACCATGGATGCAAATGGTGTTCTGATAACTATGACTGATTTTTTGTTACTCAAGTAACTATTTATCTACTTACTATTGCTACTTGCTATTTGACAATTTGTGTTCACACAAAATTCTTAAAAGTTTATTGAACAACATTTATTTAAAAGAGCAACACGCAAGTTTCTCTCTCATTCTTCTTGTGATAAGTCTGCTTCCGGAATGAGTGGTAGAATAAAAAATGTGACTATTTTATATTTCTATTTCTTTATAATTTGTTTTGTTATTAATATTTTGTTCTTTACAAATATAAATACAAATGCTGTAGTTTTGACCTGTACGATATTAAAGGAGGTTTCTCCCGCATACATATATATTGTGGAATGAATTACTTGTCGAGGTTTTCTCGAAAGACTTGTGGTTTTTCAAGAAGGGTATATTAAGAATTAAGAGGCGGCAGTATCTACGTGACATCTCTGTTGGTTCATAGGCAACGACAACCGTTTACCATCAAATAGGTCGTACGATTGTTTACCGACGTTGTAGTAGACAATAATAGAATAGAATAGAAAATAATTTATTCAAATAAACTTACATTGAAACACTTTTGAATAGTCATCACATTTTTTTTTAATCTACCGCTCTTTCGCAAAGCTGTCTTATCACAAGAAGAACGAGCAAGAAACTTGCGTGTAGCTCTTTTAAATAATTTTATTGTTACTTTACATTTTTAAGTTTTAGTGTATGAATACAAACTACCAATTAGCACTATTTCAATAAAATACTCAAATAGAATATTAAGTATACAACCAACTGGTTACACAATTAATAAGAGAATTAGTCATAGTGATTAGAGCAGACTAGTCCATACAAGCAGCACCCGTTCACGAGTATGACGGATGAGCGACCCATCACTGTGCTCGACCATATTTTATTGAATATGTAATTATTAGTAAGAAAGATTACTAAACCTCTAGACCACTGTAATGTACCGACCTTCACACCATAGGTCGTCTGCCTCTTTTTGCACATATATAGGGTCACCTATTTCCACTTCAATCTCGTCGTGATGTCTGGGATTAAACTTATGTAGGCCTCTATGAGTAGCTTCCAGCATTTCCAGTTGACTATGTGGAACCGTGGTCATATTACCAGCAAAGTTTATTCCACTAATGCTACAGCTTGAAGATGGTGACACTGAAAATCAAGCATTTATAACATTTTTCTTTATATTCGTCACCTAATTTCTCGTTGAAACTTTATTATTTATTAGTAGATATAAATATAGAGGCATAATCCATATCAGACTAATATTAAAATGGAAAAACGTCTGTCGGTTTGCTACTGAAATAATTTAATATGAATTGACATATCGATACAGGTTATTTTATTTTAAAACAGCAGAGAATGTTTTGGATAATAATGCTCATCATCATCATCATCATCACATTCTTCCTTATCCCATTTATTTGGGGTTGACTTAATATCACGGGTAATAACACTACTGGTACTAAATGTGTAAACCATATAACTAAATGTGTACTAAAAAGTCATCCACAATATTACGTCTTTTATATTATTACGCATTGAATTTTAAATTACAATTAAATGTCCGAAGTATATATGTATTAATGAAATAAAAAAAAATCGAAAGAATTTATTGTACACAGAATGTAATAGTGACGCCATGGAATGTTCGAGAATAAGTGCAAAGAGTATATAAAGTGAAACAAAACAACATCAATGTTCCATTTGTGACGTTCCAAATTTGAATTTTATAATTTTATTTTTAAATATATTAAATGGCTATTTGCAATCGCAAACACATATGACTTAAAAATTAAATGGTACAATAGCGGACTTTTATATGATTGATTACGCATATGAATTTTAAATTACAATTAAATGTATATATGAATAAGAATTTAGAGACCAAATTGAAACTGCAACTATTACAGTATCGTATGCGATGTCATATGTTGCTTCTCTTTTATGTTTCTAAAAAACCAAAAGAAAGTTGTTATTATCACTTGAATATACTGATTTTCTTCTTGTTATTTTTTGGTTGCAGAATCCTGCTGGGAGATTGCGATCCCCATGGTAATCTTAATTCTTAATAGCGGTAGACTATTCTGAAATGAATTTGGATGAATCTAGTCGTAATCTGGAACAACTATCTTAGGTTCTTTAACTTGACATGCGGTATCTGCCTGTTGCTTGACTTTATTAATTTCAATTTATTATTCTTGGTTATTCTATTAAAACTGTTAAATTATTAAAAAAAAAAATTGTGAATGCGTAAAAGTAATATTACTCACTACTTTTTTTTTCTTTCCACAGACACAAAGTCCGTGCTCTTATTATGTTAATCTTTTACATTTCTGTTTGACTTAAATTGATTTATTTAAGTAAATCTATTTTGATCAGGCAACAATTTTATGGATGTCAATATAATATAAAATAAAACAATAATAAAAATTTACCAAAATTAAGTACAAATATGTCAAGTCGGAATTGTCTCGAAATCGGAATCGGAACCGTCACTACCAACTTCCATCCAATATATACTTATAAGTTTTGAAGGACTCACTATTCATTACTTTGAAGGCCTCACTACTTCGGATTACTTTCAATAGATGGCGTTCGAGGTCTAACACGAGAAAGACGTATACAAAACTATGATTATTATTGTTTGATGATTCGACGACCTCGGTGGTCTAACGGTTTAGCAAACCTCTTTACGTCCGTAGCGGGTTCGATTTTTCGCACGGCACAAACTCGTATTCATAAGTATGATTGTTTTTATCGGTCTGGGTGTTTTCTATGTATCTAAGTATAATATTTACAAAAAAATATCTATGCATTTGTATCAGTCTTCTAGTGCCCATAACACAAGCTTTAGCTAGCTTAACTTAGGCCTAGATGGCGCTGTGTGAATTGTCTTGATATTATTATTATTACAGCGAAGAATAATTATAATATAATAATACTTCGCTCAGCGCATTATTATTATATTATTATTAGATTTGCCTGTGATTACAGAATAAGAGGTATGACATCTTAGCCCTCTTAAATGACAAAGCATGAGGTATCACATGATAAGTCCGTAGAGCTGTTGCCATTTGTAATCAGTTAGTTTGCTAATTTCAAATTGCTTACATTACGGAGTAAGATGATTCAGTGAGTGTTCATGTATCCGGAAAATATAAAAGTAGATTTATTCTTATTACTTGTACTATATTTATTTTTATATTGCTTTGCGACGTGTATTTTTTTATTGCACTTATATCCACCACTTTACAGTACCTATCAGTCACTCAAAGGTTGACTGAAAGAAAAATTTTAGGAAAGTCCGCTATTGCACCATTTAATGTTTAAGTCATATGTGTTTGCGATTGCAAATAGCCATTAAATATATTTAAAAATAAAATTATAAAATTCAAATTTGGAACGTCACAAATGGAATATCGATGTTGTTTTGTTTCACTTTCTATACTCTTTGCACTTCTTCTCGAACATTCCATGGCGTCACTATTAAATTCTGTGTACAATAAATTCTTACATTTTTTTTATTTCAATAATACAACAAATTAAACATTGCATTATTCCTCCAGTAAACAGTATCCTTCTGATAATAATCTGTACAATAAATAATTACAAATAAATATAACTTACCGTTTTGTTGTAGCGGCGTTGGGGATATACTTTTGGGACCTGTATCGATTGGTGAATGCGCTGTGCTGTGACCACTATCGACATCGCCCAGGCTCTGCAGACGCTCCGAGTCTGGACTGGAATCCTCGTCCAGAAGGTACCCGCATTTCAGGACTAGTAGCGGTCGACCTTGACATCCAGGCCTGATTAGTAGTCCGGCCAGGGCTCCTAATTCATCAGCTAGTGATGCTGGTTGCCCATTAGCTAATATTGTTGCTGAAATATTTAATAAGATAGCTTAGAGTTACAGTTATTTTTTTCATTAATACCAATTTTAATACCAATTCAGTTATATTGATAATATCACAACTATCATATGATAGTTGTGATATTATCAATATAACAGAACTTTAAACAACTATTTTTATAGTCGTTGTCTGTGCTTGTATAATCACCAGCTTAACCTTATTGGTTGTAGTATTCAATAATTTATAAGAAAAACGAGTAAAACAAATTAATTGTATTAATTTACTAAAACTCTTACTTACATATATATTCATTTACATAAATATTATAATATTGTAATATATATGTATTTTATGATATATCTAAAATATATGTACATATAAATATATTATTATCACCATCATTGTCATTCTTTTAAACAATTTATTGGACTCTACGCAGTATGTTTTCATCCATCGATCTCTATTAGGCATCTCTATGCTTACTCTCCTTTTATGTATATCATCTTTCACACAGTCTATCCATCTTTCCTTCTTCGTTCTTCTGTCGTTCTTCTTCACATCCATCTACTTTCACATTAAAAACATTCTTTAATTCGTGGTCCTCATGTTACATCGTAATTTCTATATCCCGAGGACAACTTTATAAACGTGTTCTTACTTATATCTTACTATTATATTCCTGAATTCATGATAAAGATGCGAATGTTGAGATAGATAACTCGACACATCTATCTCAACATTCGCATCTTTATCATTAATTATTTAATTCATTTAAAATATATATATGGGACCACGAGTTTTCAAAATGAAAATTAGTTGCGTTGTATTACTGTTTTTAAAACTCTTCTTAGAATTATTAAAATATATACTACATTGCGAATGTTGAGATAGATGACTCCACACATCTATCTCAACATTCGCATCTTTATCATTAATTATTTAATTAATTTAAAATATATATATGGGACCAAGAGTTTTCAAAATGAAAATTAGTTGCTTTGTATTACTGTTTTTAAAACTCTTCTTAGAATTATTCAATAATAATAACGTTAACCATCTATTAAGAACAATGTAGCAAGAATGAATGTAATCTATTGTATCTAATTTTCTATCTGTGAATCTAACTCACTCATATTCATTCATTTTCATTAATTATACATTCCGTTACAACATATATTGAATACATAAAAATATTTCCTACATATTATTTGACGACCTCGGTGGTCTAGCGGTCTAGCACACCGCTTTACGTCCGATGGTCGCGGTATTTTCTATGTATAATATGTATGTATTTACGAAAAAAAAAATTATCTATGTATTTGTATCAGTTGTCTAGAACCCATAACACAAGCTTTAGCTAGCTTAACTTAGGTCTAGATGGCGCTGTGTGAATTGTCCTGAGATTATTTTTATTATCTATACATGTAAATAAAATTGGAGTGTTTGTTTGTAATATTTAAATAACCGTTTTTTACTACATGCATATGCATATAAATACGGTACATATACCAAAATAACATTTTTTACCGGCTAATTTCAGAAATGGCTGGACCGATTTTGACAGGCAGGTAGCTGATGTAATAAGGAGTAGCATACACTATTTTTTTTGGAATAAACTTTTGATTTAGAGAAATAAAGTTAAGTTCCACGATGTCGCGGAAACAGTTAGTTATATATATAACCTAAACATACACTTATTCTTGATCATAGGCAGTATGCTTTGGGATCACTCTTCAAGAATCGTTTCTTCATGCAACAATCGATAACGACCGCTTTACGACCGATGGTCGCGGGTTCGATTCCTCGCACGGCACAAACATTTGTATTCATGAGTATAATTGTTTGTATCGGTCTGGGTGTTTTCTATGTATAATATGTATGTATTTACAAAAAAAAAAATATCTATGTATATGTATCAGTTATCTAGTACCCATAACACAAGCTCTAGCTAGCTTAACTTGGGTCTAGATGGCGCTGTGTGAATTGTCCTGAGATTATTATTATTATTATTATAAACTAAGCCACTTGTATCTGTCTCCACCTAATAATTTACATACTTCTGGCATTCCATCTTATACATTTCACATGCTTTATAATATGTATAATAATTATTAAATTACATTATGATATAAAACAATGAAAATATATTTATTACTAGTATTTACATAACCTATTTGTAAGAACCTAAAATTAAAAAGCTTAAAATATATAATATGATGACTAAAATATATTATTAAAAGGGGTCCCTTTAGGTAAAGTTCCGAAGATACTGGCAGCGTTCCCTCTTTGAATGGCTAGACTAATTCTTTGTCCGAGGTAGCTGCCAGCTCTTCAGTCTTCTGTGATGTCGACTAACCTTTTCGTTATTTCTTTGAAAAGTCTTATAGCGCTAGGACCCCACGGACCATTATTAAATATATTTAATATTAGAAGTATATAATAGAATAATATATCTATGATCATTTAAATTAAGAATACTAAATATACTGTTATTTTTAATGTAATAATTAAAATAAATATTTTAACAATAAAAATAATATATATAATATGGTTTTATGTATACATGAAATGAACATGAAATATTAAAATAAAATATAATCTTATAGAACGTCATGTTACATATTTCATATTTTATATTGGTATAAATTAATTATGTCGCAAGTTGCAAAATATAAACTATAAATGTAAAAATTGTATAAACTATAAATACAATACCATAAAATAAATAAATAAATAAATAACCCTGGACAATTACCACAGCGCCATCTAGTCCCACGGTAAGCAGAACTTGTACTTACTTGTATTTAACTTAACTTGTATTACGGGTACTAGACACCTGATATAAATACGTACATATTTTATTTATAAATACATACATAATATAAATAGAAAACACTCAGACCGCTACAAACAATCATATTTGTGAATACGATTGGACCGTGCTAGGAATCGAACGTGTGAACACCGAAAATATATAGACGATATTATAAAAAAGTATAATTAAAAGGAGCTACCTCCTTGAGGGCTTTATTAGTGAATAAACTGAAATTATATTAACTGGAGGTAACACCAATCGAAACCGACGAAACTATATATGTACATTATAGTCACGGCTATTATAAGGAAGGGGGTAGACAGAATAGGGAGCTACTCTTGACGTGCACATTTCGCTAAATATATTTGAATAAAGAGAGGGAAGGGAAGCGAAACTACCACCGTTTCTCTTACTTATTCATTTATACTGAATATATTGTATACTGAAATATTATTGTATATAGTAATAGGTATGTACTCACCCATATTCGTGTGTAAGTCGCGGTAGAAAACCATAGAGTAGCTTGTAAACCATAGAGCTCTGGACGCTCTTATGAAATGAAACTAGAGCTGCAATTTTATGTCGATCGCATATCGGGTGTATGCATTTGAACTTTTATTGACATAATTACGTAAACAGGTTATATATAGACTGCAGCCCTTCGTAATCAATATTCTGTATCCTACTTCGGTATTCTGATACGTGTAGTGCATACAACATATATTTTTATTGTTATAAATGCTGAATATTTTTTTATTCATTAAATTTTCCAAGATACAGAAATTTGAATAAGGACGCCGGAACGTCAAAATTTCTTCCCTCTATGCATGAGTATTTTATTATTATAAATGCTAAGACCATATTTTATTATATTATACACTAGCTTTTACCCGCGGCTCCGCTCGCATAACTTCATTACTGACTGCTAGATGGCGCTGAAGGAGCACAATTTAGATTTTTCTTTTGTTATTTATAAAAAATATTTGTTTTTATTTCAATTACAGTATCCTACGTTCGTTCTAATACCTGCAAGAACATGTAAAATTTCATGATGATCGGTTCAGTAGTTTTTGCGTAACATACATACCTACTTTGACATTTATAATATTAGTAAGAAATAAATTTACTTAATGGTACAGAGACTTGTATAAAGATGCTGGAACGTCTAAATATTCCTGTCCTCTGACTCTGCTTTGAATAAAATTATACCTTCCGGACTGTTTTCTAACATGTTTTATAGAGTAGACGATGCTTGAGTATGGATTTAACGCTTGGTAGCAAGAACTGGATACTAGCTTAATGTATTGGATGCTTATTTGTGTGTACTGAAGGGAAAATACGTCTGGACGTGCCATGGATGCGTAGAGGTGTAAAACGTACGTACTCGACATGTGGTGCTGGCGCGAATTGTGAATTAAACTGCTCGTCAAACCAACATTTCCATAAATAGTTTAACTTTCTAGGTTACATTCTCTTTGACTGTGAAAATACTATTAAGTATTTTGGTCACATTAGTCGAAACTGAATGGAGCGTCTAAATATACAAAAGTTCATTTGAGGGACATCATTATGGGGACTACACCGCAGTCCATTCTGGAATGATCTTCAACAGTCATAAAGAAAATCTCACAGATAATAAATTCATATTACGATAAGAAGTACAAATACTCGCTCAAGAGAGTCCGACTTAAGAAGTAGAAATGCAGAACCAATTATACTAAATAATAAACATATATCGTTGATTACCTGACTTCGAACCCAACGGACGTGGGTACAAATCTGGCCGACATAAAGCACGTTGTCAATATACGCCTATATATGCCAATACATGCCTATCTCTCGGAGGATGAGAACGCTTAAAACAAATCAAATTAATTGTAGGCTTGTTCCAGAAAAGTGTTCGCTAAAAGTGGATAGGCTATATGTAGAGTTCACCAACAGATTGATGCTATCAAGTTAACGCCTAAAGAAGACAATGACTATACCAATCTGACTAACTCCACCTAGGATAGCAGTCGTGAAGATATTTTTTTTATTATACATATAGGTATAAATATCACAGTACTAATATGTATAATTCGGCGAAAGGGGTTGTTAGTAATGTGGACTGCTGATCCTATTGCTAGCAATGTACCATGTCAGGTTGACCCCCACGCGGTTGCCCCTGGAAAACATTGATAAATTCACCGTGAATTTATCACGATGGGCTAACTGACCTGACCTCATGCTCATCTTATTTTATCATCCTTCACTGGTGCCTCTCCAGTTTAAACCGTTAGGCGGGTGCACCATTCCATTATCATCCATAAAAAAAATATATGTATGGTTGGGAGAAGGGGATTGTTAGATGTATGTGGAACGATTACCCCATGTACAACATCAGGTTGGACTCCACGCGATTGCCCTTGGAAACCATTATGATAAATGGCTACTTGTCAAGTTGGAGTTATTGACCTGACTTCATGCTCATTTTATCAACTTCCACTGATGCTCTGCCAGGGTATATCAACAGATTATCATACACAAATAAAAATATGTATATTCATATACTATTTAAATACATAGTTATAACTTATATAAATATTCCATATAGAAAACAACACCAATATAAACGAAAAAATATATAAATGAAGATTATCATATAATTTAATATATACTTAAATGATAATTATATAATAAACTAATATATTACGTTATATAATAATAATATAAACAAAACAATATCTCCAAATAAGAAACTGAATGAAATAAAAATACGCTATCGTTCAAATATAGTTTTAGATCGCAATGTAAATTATTCTAAAGGTCAGATATAACAATGCCATCGCAAAAGTTAGATATAGCAATGCTAAATAGAGAAATATATTTTCGCCGAGCATAGTATTTATAAATAGTTCATTCATAGTTGATGCCAGATTTACGTTTACCGAGCACCATCTATTTTAACTTAACTAACAATAACAAAAACATTTTGTTATATAATCTGAAACTCTACTCACATTTCTTATTTTTTGGAATCTCTGGAAGCTTTCTTCTTCTTCTTTCTCCATTTGAAAATGTCTGGTGTCTGGGACTGCGTTGTGGCTCAGTTAAGTCAGGTTGTGGTGGTGATACGTCATCTTGTGCGGGGGCTGCACCGTCGCTGTCTGCAATGCAGCCTCTATCTTCCTCTGGAGTGTCTTCACTCTTCGATGACAGTGATTCATCATCCAAACCAACATTTGGCACTAACCTATACAACATAAAACTCTGATTACATTTCTTAAACTAACAATTAATTAATTAAAGTTTTCTCAAGTGTTCACGTGACAATAGACAGTAACAACATTCGAGCAACTGTTAGCGCAAGTAAATACAACAAGTAGAGTAACTTACGAATAGAATGGCGTTGGAGCCTTTACGTGTTGAGGCAGTCTGTCGAACACACGACGAAATTCTTCAAACTCGCTGTCGGCCATGTCGCTTTTCCACCTGATTGTTAAGTAAAGACAGAGAGCATGCGCTAGTCGGCTCTCTATGACGGTATCGACCGCTGTCGTACGGTTCTGATGAATTGGTGTCCTACTGCGCATGTGCGGTAAGGGTGCGCGCTCAACGGAATTATTAATACGCATGCGTACAATATCAACCCCACAATATGAACTATATGATGCATCACCGGGAAACCCACAAGAAACAAGTTGTTTTGTAACATGTGGACGTACTTTTGTAAACAATAACTTTGTATAAATATTTAATAATTTACACAAATATAATGATAATTTGATACGGTTTTAGATTTGATATATTGCATCAAATTAGTCTGCTGGTAATTTCAAACGACTTTGAAATAAAGTTAATATTTGACGATTTCTCAAAGTTACTTCACACAATAATATTTTTTTAAACTTTTAATAAACTTTTTTATTTTATCGTCACAAATAAATAAAAAAGTAAATCAACCTATATTAAGTTTTCTGAATTTTAAAAAGATTAAAAAAAAATGTATGTTGTACGTGTAATGCCTAATTTTTTTTTGTATGTGTTTAATGTACACTCACATATAGTATTTTGAATTCCTCGATGATAAAAATGAATAATGGTAAAATTAATTGCTTATCTTATAGAAATTAAAATGATAAAGGGAAAATATTTTTTTTCAATTCAAATCATATCGCGAATTTTTTTTTACTTATCAACTTTTAGTATATGTATGTATAATTGTAGCGCTTTTATAGTGTTTTCACGCCGAAACTACTATACCGATTTAAATGAAATTTGGTACACAGATAGTCTAGACCCTGAGAATAGACTGTGAAAGCTACTTTTTATTAAGATATAGGGGTTGTCAGGTGTTAAAATAAGTTTGTAAGGGGAGATGAAAGATTGTATGGCAATATCGTAATTTTTAAAGCTAGGAGCTTGAAACTTACGCGTTAGGCTGTTGATCATTACAAAGTATAAAAAGGTCGCTGTCTGTCCGTCCCTAAGTATGCTTAAATCTTTAAAACTACGCAACGGATTTTGAAACGGTTTTTTAATAGATATAGTGATTCAAGAGGAAGGTATATGTATTATATAATACATAAATATAACATTCAATGTATTTATAAATTTTACCCTTGAAAAACAAAATAGGGGACTACAGTTTATATGCAAAATTTGTTATTTTTGAAGCTAGAACTATGTAACTTTCTTCAAAAAACTTTTTGGGTTCAATTTTTCATCATCGTTTATTCTTTCTGACTCTTATTTCTACATGTACATGTATTTCTCAGGACAATTCACACAGCGCCATCTAGACCCAAGTTAAGCTAGCTAAAGCTTATGTTATGGGTACTAGATAACTGATACAAATACATAGATTTTTTTTTCGTAAATATACACCTATAATACATAGAAAACACCAAGACCGATACCAACAATCATACTCATGAATACAAATGTTTGTGCCGTGCTAGGAATCGAATCCGCGACCATCGGATGTAAAGCGGTGTGCTAGACCGCTAGACCACCGAGGTCGTCAAATAAACGATTGCATTTCATTTAGTACTGAATATTATAAACATTATTATATCTACCTTAAAATATTATTCCTTATATTTTACGAGATTTTTCATACAATTAAATGTATTTTTAAAGACATAGTTAACTTTATGCTACTTAACTTTTTTCTTCAATACTAGTCTATTTCCGATGCTTCGTGAAAATTGTGACTTATATTGAAGAGTCTTAGTATATTGACTGTGCACTTGAGACGTGCTTCAACTGGACTCCAGGGGATGAACAGTTACTGTCTTCAACAAATAACCTATTTTATTTTATGTTGGTTATTTTTAGAATCACTTCTAACCAGTTAATGACAAAGAAATCCTATTTACAACTATTTTAAGAAGTCGAATATAATCATTAATATAAATACTAGCTTTCCAAGAAAGATCCGTGTTCAGTAGTGGGACGTTATATATCTTAAACCTTTATCTTTATCTATTCTATCCATTAAATAAAAAAATCAAAACAAAATAAAGAATTATTGAATAATAATAAGTGTTAATACTATTATAGATAACTGATACAAATGCATGGTTACATTTATTGTATATGCATACATATAAATAATTATACTCATGAATAAAAAAAATTCCGTGCCTGAAATCGAAACCACGACCACCCGAACAAAAGCGGTGTGCTACATCGCTAGACCACCACAATACTACGGACTATATGTTATTCCCCTCCGATCGATCCCCCGTCCAATTTAAACGGGATCGATATTACGACGACCTAAGCCGAGGTTCGAACCCCTAGCGGTGCCCTCAGACTAAAGTCGTATCCGTCAGGCGAGAGTTGGCCTTCGTGGCCACTCGATAAGTCCTTTCGCGGGTTTGGAGCGCCATCTGCACTTGCCCCTAATCGTCAGGTGAAGCAGTAGAGGCCAGCTGCGGCCAACAGCATTGGAGTAATCCGAATTTTATATATGTATATATATATATCGCAGTTAACTTTTTATAGTCAACATTTGGTAAACTACCTGCTTTATAAATTATCTTTTCATTATTATCTCATTCATTATTACGCCGACCCCAAATAAATGGGATAAGGAAGAAGCAGATGATGATGATATTATCTCAGTCAGGTGGATATGAAAATAAAAAGTCATTACATTTCATTAATTTCAGGTGGATATGACAATGGAAATTCATTACATTTCATTAAAATCGTCAATAATATTCATTAAAATAATGATTCAATGATTGGAATGTTTCATTATTAATGCACTATAAAAAAATCAGTATAAATATTGCCTATAATGTTGTGGCTTTAATACAACGAATTTCTGACCGTATTAATTAATATAATATGAGTGTATATACATTTTTATTTTGATGCGCTCATAATTTATATAGGAATTTTACTACGGTTTATTTGTTGAGACTAGATATATCGGCAGTGTTAGTATCGCCATGATCAAGAATAAACTGATTGGCAGCGGTTAGATGGTAAATAAACAATATCATAGGCAGATATTTTTACCTTCTTCAAATTGCATCAGAAGCTTGAAAATTTATAATTTCAAATAATAATGAAACTTAAAACATCGAAACAATAAAATTTAAAAGAGCTATGGACCCCTATCATTCTGTTCTTTGTGCACATCTTTTGCACACGTAAAGATACTACATGCTATCGAATCTGCTATTTTTTTCAAAATTTTGTATAGTCCTTCTACGCAAAATCTTAAAAAAATATAGGTAACTTATACATAAAATTCTCGTGTCACAATGTTAGTTACCAATGTTACCATACTCCTCCCAAACGGCTTGATCGATTTTTATGAAATTTTATATGCATATTTAGTAGGTCTGAGAATCGGCTACTATCCATGTTTCGACTCCTAAGTGGTAAGGGATATCCACCCCTAAATATATACTTTATATTTTTATCGACATAATAATATATTATTATTTAGGATTGAAAAATACTTACAACCCTAAATTTTCATCCTTCTAGCATGAACTCCAATTTTTTAATAGCTATTTTAATTTATATAGCAAAATTTCATATTTGTTAATAATTGTACCTGTAACAGTCTTGGTTTTGTAAATATATATATAAAGAAACGACAGAATATTCTTCTAATTTTTATCTAAAGAAGCAGAAATTGCAGATCAAAGCTAGTATATTTGTAATTAGCTGAAAGAAGATGGAATCCTTTAAATGTATATGTACAGTTATAAATAGCAACCATAGTTTATTTGTACAACCATTTGGTATACGAGCTTTCATCCAGTCCTGGCATATTTCAACGTATAATGAGTTATTTTGTTTAAAGATACCAAACGCTGTAAATTTCCTTGACAATGAAGATCTATTTACTAGTTATACGTAATAAAAAATTGTGAATTTTAATCATACAATCTCTATATATAAATGTATATCTATATATAGGTATAATAAAGTAGAGGTCGAATTTCTGTACATAGAAATAAAACCCCAAAAAACAAAGTCAGAGGGATGTTACAAGAAACATAGAACTAATTTAGATTTTTTCAAATTTATTATTACTCTGTCTGTTTGTCTATTTGTACAGGGTAAATTCCGAAACTGTTAGACCAATTTAAATGAAATTTTGCATGGAATGCCCCCCCTATCGGGCATGCAGCAATTTACAACTGATGTGACATTATATCATAAATTAATAGAATAGAAAATCATTTATTCAAATAAACTTAATTTAAGCACTTTTGAATAGTCATAAAAAATTTTTTTCTACCGTTCGTTGGGAATGCTCACTAGAAAAACGAGCAAGAAACTTGAGTGTTGCTCTTTAAAATAACCCTTGTAAGTTTACATTTACAAGTAGAAAACGTGTGAATACAAACTACCAATCAACACTCATTTATTTGGGTCCAATATAAATATACAATAAGATTAAATCAGTCGTAGTGATAAGAGCAGACCAGTCTGTACAAGTAGCAGTTATTCACGAGTATGACGGATGACCCAGCCATCACTGCGCTGGACCATATTTTAGGGAACGTAATGACAAATAGTTTGTATTGGTCTGGGTGTTTCCTATGTATAATATATATTTATTTACAAAAAAAATCATCAATGTATTTATATCAGTTGTCTAGTATCCATAACACAAGCTCTGCTTAGCTTGGGAGTAGACAGCGTTGTTTGAATTATCCAGGGTTATTATTATTATTATTTAATAAGTGCATAAAATAGTCTCCATGGTGTCCTCAGCTTCAGCCAAGCAGCTTACTCTTCAAGCTGTTTTCCGAGAAGAACCGAACATTTGCCATCAAGTAATTTGAATTTTTAAGAAGTCATTTAAAACGTATCACCGTTCCAAATGACTTCATAAAAATGCAAAATATTGGGACAATCAATTATACGGATACGGTTTACCGTGCTTTTATCATTTATTAGTCTCGGATTAAATCGAATCGAGTGATCTCGACTCAGATAAAAAACGAAACTCCAAAAATTCCAC